GGGGGGGGGGGGGGGGGGGCTTGCTTGTGGCCCTACAGAGTAGTTAACTTCCAGACTGTGGACAGGACAGTATTCTCAGTGGCAGCATCCATATGATACATCTGTCTCCTAGGCAAAGTCCATCTGCTCCCATACTGTTTTGTCTTTAGCAACAAAAGATATGCAGGTTCATCAAGACACTGGTAGGATAACAACTGCCCCAGAATCAGACTGCCTTGTAGACTGCTTTCTTAAACTGAACTTTGTTTAAATTTCAGTATACTTATTGACTCTTAGGATTGATGAGTTTATTGGTGATTGGTGTATTCAATTGCTTGCTTGAAGATTGTATATATTGTTCTTCGATATACTGACCCAGTTTCCTTTAGAAAGCAGAGCTGCATTAAAAGCAAATATCAATATTAATAATTTGTAAATATTTTAATAATTAATGTTTTAATAATTCTGTGCCCCAGAATATTTGTGTGTGTGTGTGTGTGTGTGTGTGTGTGGAATGTGATCATCAAGTCACTCTAGAATATTTTCAAGAAGTAAATGTTCCAGAAAGTGGTTCACAATGTTCTTGTCACAATTCAGAATGTTCCATGCCTGAAATGGAGTTTTACACACAACTAGAAACGACTGGTGGATTTACTTGTAGTGGTGTGATCCTAGAGGAACTATTAGATGGTGGAAATCCTTGTGACTTCCAAGTGGTGTAACTACCTGTAAATGAAACTGCTTGGCTTTTCAAGAGGATCTACAAAATTCTATTTCATTATCAAATAAAGCAAATCCAAAAAGCTACCAAAAAGGGAATTTCTAGTGTGAAAATGGAAACTGATTAACATTCCGTGAAGCTTTAAAAATAATGTGGGATGCTAAGTCTTTTCATGCAGCCTGGTCCACTATGAGTCTGTCTAATCTGGACATAAACTCAAGGTTCCTATATGTCTATTCCAGCATCCATGGTGAGATTGCTAATCATAGATAAACATGTATGGCTCAGAGTGATCTCACACCAAAATTATGTATAATTTTCTGAAAGAAAGAGTTTCTCATTCCACAATATGTCCTGCTGCTCCATAATGTAATGCATTGTTCACTGTATTAGCAGTGAAAGTGACAATCAGTAAGCAAATACTAAGCTATAACCATCCAGCATGGATAGATCTATGCTAGCCACTATGCTTTACTTTATACATTACCCAAATTCTGCTCTGTTCTCTGCTGGGCTTCTCCCAGTCGGTGAATGGCATCAGTCTGAGTACAGCATCTGCAACTGAGAATCGTAACCAAACGAGTAGGCATCCACTGACCATTGTCATATATTCTTTTCTTAGTCTCCTCCATAAAAGCCTAGCACTGTCGAGCAACTTAAAGTGCTAGATAGATTAAAAACAGTTTGAGGTTACGAACTTCTGAATGACAGGGCTCCAGCTGGAGGGCAATGTTCTGAAAACTTGTTTTCAAGGTAATGTGAGGAGGATTGAAGGTCCCAAGGTGCTTTTAACAATGAGTTTTCCCAAAAAAAAAAAAAAAAGATAAAATGGGATAGCCCAGGGCATGTTGAGTGAATTAGATGCCAAATGTTTGCCTCTTTGGGAAGAAGGTAATTATTCTCAAGCCCTGTGGGATAAACACATGGAGTGGGTTGAGTAGCTCACCAGTGTGGTTTGGGTACTTCACTCTTGTACCTCACTGCTTCTCTGTCATGTTTCCTGAAACACGAGAATTCATTTATGGAAACATTTCTTGGTTACTGTTAGAATTCTCTCAGGAGGAAAGCTTCTCTTGGGAGAAACCGCTGCCCCCAAAAGTGTGCCTCAGAAACGAGGCTGGTGATGTTGCTGCTCTCATGGTGGGTGGGTGGGT